ACTTTTTTTCCCCTATGTGTATCGTTTCTATATTTTCATATTTATAAACAAGAAAAAATGTATTTCAAGTGTGAAACCTATTCTCTCAGCTTTATTAACAGTAAATGGTTTACCCCACGAAACTTATAAAGAGAGTCTTCTGTTGGTTTCGTTTTATAATCAATGAATATTATATTACGTAATATAAATTTAAATTTAACATGAAATTTGCATATAATGTAAATTTTTTAATATAAATTTAATTTAAGTATACATTTTCTGGGAAAAAATTGTTTATTTAAAAATTTGAAAACCGGCAATGGCACACTTTGGAATGTCTCCCTAATTTATTCTGTCCTTTTTAATTAATCCAATGACTTGTTTTGAAAAATACTCATCATGTTCTCTCACTCGATAAATAATTTAATTTTTACTGTTTCTCTCTCTCTTTTATTTTTATGAAATACTATTGTTTTAAAAGATAAGTTGTAAATACTGCACAGTTTCTACTTAACAATGATTTAATGTGTTGGTTTTTATAATTGTGATAGTCATATTAAACGTTTAAGTCTGTACGATAAAGACACTTACGATTAATGGACTAATAAACGTCGGGTATTAATAAAAGCACGTTACAGTGAATTGCCAGACATGTCAAACGCAGTGGGTAACGATAAAAAAAATTAGTCTCACATTTCAAGTTTTCCTTCCAATATTATTTTTATTAAAAGTGTTGCAAAATAACTATCACGCCACAAGTTTCACCTATGAATCATAAAAATCATTAAAGGTTATTGGAAAGCTCTTACGCAGGACCGTGTTCGATAACTTTACACCACAAGTGCATAGAATGCATGTAAAATTAATAAATTACCATTACGGTTGGTGGATTGTGCGAAATTCACAGTATTGTTTAGGCACGGGGCTTGAATTTCTCAACAATATATATGTAAATAAGTAAGTGCAATGTATTGGACACGATCTATGATAAATTATACGGCCGCTATACGATATTCATTATAAATACATAATTTATGGGGAACGTCAAAAGTAGGAGCTGAATAAATTTTGTACTGCGAGAAATAACTAATATGACATAAATTTGACCGACGAGGCGAAAACGCATAACTTGATTTCGACTTTACAACTTGATCAATAAAGTTGTACGTAACAAATAATAAAATCGGATTTTTAAAGAAATATGCATAGTAAAAAATCAAACAACATAGCTGAGGGCTACGTTAAAAAATTATTTTATTTGAAAATAATAATAATAATAAATACTGGATTATAAATTTACGAAAAACGTCAACGCTCAAAGCCTAAATGCTACTAAAGCGGAGAGTTTGTGTCGAGTAAAAAAACCATCAGTTGCTATTTAAAACCTCTTTTCGGGTAGTTCGGTCTGGAAATAATTTGCATGGAGTCCTCTGCGTTTACGATCACCTGCTCGCGATGTCGAATTGTTCGATCCAATTGAAACTTAGTGTGGGCATACTACTCTGTCGACAGTTGCAGAGTTGTTAAAAAATAAAATAAAAATGAGACCCAAATCACCGGGAAACACTTGTAAAGCACTCATACGTGCAGGTTTTGGTTCGTCGTGTCTAGTGTGGGCGTCATAACTCTCATGGTCCGTTTGTGCGTCGTAATAGAAAAATATAGAACTCGAGATAAACAACACTATCCTATGGAGCTCGTTGAGGTGATGTATAAGCCGAACAACTAAAAACACGTTGTGCCACTAAGATTTCGACACTGCTAGTGCTCGTGAGAAGGCGTTTGAGTTTAATTCACTAGGACAGAAGGTTGGTCAAGACACAAAATCAAAAACTGCACACCGCCAACGTAATTTCACGGTCTTTAAAAAACACAATATTGATTTTAATCCGTTAAATTATGAAACTACCTATTAAATCATTCTTAAGAAAAACACAAATTGACTAGAGCTTAAGTCGCGGCAAAAGTATTTGTTATCATTAACCCACAAAAACAGTATGAGATATTTTCGTCAAATAATTTAGGAAGTCTTTTCGACATTTTTACCTCTAACAGAAAAATATTTAACAAAAAAATTATCGAATAAAACCCAGCGACTTTAAGTATCACTAAGCCAACTTTTTGTTAATTTGCCACTTAAATTTACTCAAAACTTTGAAATTATTTAATATTTTTCAAACAAATGTGTAAATAATTCTAAAGTGTTGTACCAATAGTACAATGTTCTACCACTCTTTTCCTGCGCACAGTTCATTTGATTTTCTTACCTGTGATCCATTTGTACATTTTTACTAATTAATAATTAAAGTTCAAACAAGCATGCAAGTGACACACGAGCATCCAAAGCAATTAATTTAATTATTTGTTCTAAATGTACTTAATGTTACACGATATTCTATTTTAACGAGTTCGATGGATCGGCGTACATAAATGTACCTATTTTCAAAACGAGAATACCAATCGTAGCAAACTGCTGTTGGCTATCTATCATGCACGTGTGGGTCGTCGACTGTGTAGTAATACATTGTAAAATTAATTATTATACATAATCAAGTCTTTGCGGTGGTCTTATCCGTGAATAACTGTTACAATACAAGCACACCGACAGCAATCTCAAATATTTGCCGGTAATATAATAAATATTGAATTCGCAGCTGAAAGATTAGTGTCAATTTAATATATATTAACACCCAACCGTAACACATAGCTTAGTAAAAACGATAGCAACATACCCTAAAGTATTAATAAAAGTTTTAATTTACATTTGAGCTTTAAACGCGAGTTTCCACTAATCTGCACACCGCACACCAACAAAAAGTATTAATTATATTTTACTGCATGGAACACCATAGAACCACAACTTCCTCGTTAACGATGCGAAGTAAACGAGTTAGTGGAAACCGGACAAGGGAGTTTTCACTTTTAATTGTTAAACAGAAAACAAGCAAGTAAATTTCGCAATATAAATGTTAATTGTTTCAAATTGCTTAATGCTAAAAACTTGAGTAAATTTATCACATTTGTGTTCAAATATTACATGAGTTCGAGAAAGTTTAAATGGGGATCAATGAAACCTTTTGTACACATGTATTAATTTACTGAACTTTGGCGCTTACCGTTAAATTTTGGCGCAACATTTGAATTTTGATTAGCGGGTGGGGTGGTTACAACTCCCAAACTTCGGTAACCTTCGTCTGATACTTCAGAACCACTGTCGGTACCTACTAGTTCGGATTTCTTAGCATCTTTAGTACTCGAATGCGATTTCTTTCGAACTCTTAAACTGTCTGACACTCGATATACTGGTGTGGTGTCTATAGTGCACTCTTCTTCTTTAACTGTCGAATGTCTTCTTTCCATGGCCGTTACAGGTGTTGGATTAAGAACATGATAGTGTTCGGTCCCTCTGAAATTATCCGAAACCCTGCACGTGGACGTTGTATCAATGGTTTTTCCATCGTCTACAGCGTCCAAGGAGTATTTTTTCTTGGGTTCGAATAACTCGACGATAGGTTCTCTTGACGACAAACGGTCTTGAAATTCTTTTGACAATTCTGATGTAAAATTGTCTGATATTTTTGCCGTTGGCGTGTCGTCCACGCCCCTTCGGCTGAAAGATGATGAACGACTTCTGTTAACTTCAGAGGCACTGGGCACTAGTAAATGGTCAGTTGGCGATACTGCTCTATAGAATTTTTGACGGCTGGGCGTTATAGACCTTGATCTATTACCATTCTGCGGTTGAACAGTTAAACGTTCGATGTTTCGTGGGGTTGGACTTCTGCTTCGCCTGCCCGTTTCTAAAGGTGCGCTCAATCTAGTGGTAACGCGTGGAGATGGCGATCTGCTTCGGTGGCGACTAGCACGTTTGGCCGTATTCAAACCTCCAGTAGTCAAACTTAGACCGCCAGGGTGACCATTTCCGCTGCTGCCGGTGCTTGACGTTGACGACCTACGTGTTCGTGGCGGTGATCTATAGACGACATTCATAGTTTATTTGCTTATATATTTTATAGAAAAATTTTAAATATTTTATTTAGATTTCTCACGGTCGTTAAAGTCATCATTAATTTTAAAATAACCTCTAAGAACTTCTCTGATATGCTTAACCTCAAACAAGCTGAACAGCAAAAATTTGAGTGTTTACTTAATTTAATCATGCACAACGTTTATTTTTATTCTCGATCTTTTTATTTTATTTAATAATGTCCAGTTTGGATTTTAATGTAGTCTCATAAACAACATGAAAGTCACCCGCAAACATTTACAGTTGGGAACGCTTATTTTCCACACGATTTATGGGCCAATCGAAGTACTGAAACGGTTTTACGGTCACATTAATAATACTTTACTCTCGTTCTGTATATTAAATACACTATCGTTATTTTCTATTTTACTTTGCCACTAAAAGATAAGTCATGCAATATATTCTACTTCACATACGCTAAACTCATTACATAAAATAAATCAGTATAAACTTTATTAGCGAAATACTATAAGTTTGCCATAAATACCGACCTGTCGTAGTGGACTTGAGCATGCGACAATTCCAACGTGGGCCCGCCGCTTTTGATTCCAGTCAGTTTTGCGGATACAGGTGCTCGATGTGCTGTTTAAATGAAAACGTTGTACGCCAAAAGAAAAACAAAAAAATAACAATAATAAGCTACATACAAGCAATAAAAAGCGTAAAAACATATCAAACTATGTAGGAGGTATGGCTATTAAGTCAATACACTCTGTATGCTACACACTAGTGAACAATGTTGGCACGACGTGCCAATTTACACGCAATAATTGTCCCAATAACTATCCTACACTATTAATATTATTTTTATTATCAACTTTGTAAAATATACAACGAATGATGCACTTTTATTTTATATTTACTACTCTTTCTACGGATTTATATTATATTTACTGCTGTCATGTTTGCCAAACCCAACCGGTAAAATAAAATTGAAAATAAATAAACCCAGTTTTTGTGCAAAAAACATTAATAGTAATAATATCATTAATTTATAGTAGTCATTTACACCATAGTAGACAATAAAAACAGTATTTTCCTGGTGGTTTCAATCTATAGGAGCAAAAAGCTTACCAGTTTTGCATCGGCATGGATCGTGTTTATCCAAGTAATGAGACAGCGTGTCCCATCCGCCACCCACTCTGACCATAACGTGGCTTCTGAGGATCTACAATGGCCATACAAAACGCATGATGCGCATAAATTAATACCAATTTAAACTTGACATAATCTAATGACCACAAGGATTATGTGTAAATACTCGATTTGAATATCTCAATAACGTATTCCATTAAAAACGAGTAAGTACACTTAATCTATGCTCGTACTGTAAAATGGTGCGAACTCACCCTGACGAATATCAAAACTTTAGTGTCACCGATCCGGTATTTTCCCTCGGACACCCTAATCATTGGGAATTGAGTTGGGCACTTGCACCTTTCCACCAAATCTCGTACCTTAACAAAGTAAACAATACGTTAACGTATCACATCATAATAACACTACAAAATTGAGTTTTCGCTGTAGCGTTTGTCGTCAGCCATTAAAAATAATAATAAAATATTCTCATAAATAATTATTAACGAATAGCGTAGTAATTCAGTATATTGATATTAAACGGCTAACGGTTAAATCTAGTTAAAAAGCAATAGTTCAAAACTAATCAAGTGGTACGATTTTATCATATATACTTCAGGCACGGCCACCGTACGCATCAATTCTATCTGTATACGACGGCTCTTATGAATACGAGTTTACAGCGAATTAACTCGCNATTCTATTTGTATGCGACGGCTCTTATGAATACGAGTTTACAGCGAATTAACTCGCGATGAATGATTCGCTGACATTAGAAAGTACATATTAACGTTACAAACTAATGGGTCGTCACGTATTGTGTTTCCGGAATGGTATTTTAGCGAGTAAACTTTAGGCATTCGAAAAATACCAATATGCAAAAAATTTCACCAACAATCATATATTTCAATAACGTGTTATCGAATTCTTCGATATAACATCTATACATGCCACAAGTATGTAACAAGTAACTAAACATCCCAAACAGTTATTCAAGCTGGCGTGTTTGTCTGACAAAAATACATTAATTCAGTTGAAGTTAATGACATCTATTTAGATTGTTAGTGGCAATTTTCGATGATTAAACACAACCATTAAAACTAAAAAATTGAAATCTGTGAATACACTACACATATTGTTTTTGTTTTCTTGAGATATTCTCACTTTATGCCTTTACAGCGGAATTCAAAATATAATTTAAAGTATTCTTTTTATCTCGACGTTTGCTACAATGAACAACGCATTCGATAGTTATTTAACTCTCTCGAATTAAATTTTACATTTTGATTTATGTTATTTCAATTACTACAATAGCGAACAGTCTACTTCTTTCTCTGGTGTCATTGTACCGACTTTTTTAATTACCACTAGATATGTATTATTCTTATAAATATATACACGAATGTGTTAAGTATATTCGATAGGCGGCATTTAAACACAAGTAACACCTCAGGTCGGACGCCGACGTGGTGTTTGTAAGGTCGGCAACTTCGAAGTAAACCTAACGCTTTGTTTTCGTTAATTCGCAATGTCACGATGATTTTTTTTCGTACAATAACAATCAAGGCCGTTCACACGAACCGCGGCAGTAGAGAAAAAACTGAAATACTTATTCGAGCATCACACCGGTAATGAAAAGGAGAAAAAATAAAAATAATGTCAAGCAGCGCACAAAAAACACATTCCAAAACACAGAATAGCATCCGCTAACAAAATGTGTATTACGCAGAAAATTTACATAAAATTAATTTATGAAACTACAATGTTGTTAAAAAATGAAAATTATTCTCCCGTCAATAAATCCATGTGTAACATTTTGTATTGAGGTTTCATTAAACCACATAGACTTTATTTGTATGAAGTAATAAAACGTTTGGAATAGCATGTAGAAATATTCACAATTTTTACATTAAGCAAAAGTAATGAAGATGCCGACAATTCCATTCTTTGAAATTCAACAGTGAGTTCAGTCACTACAAAGTTTTTTTTCAACGAATCATTGACAGTCATCGTTTTTACGGTGTACTGGAAATATTTCAAAAAATAAAAAAATTTTAATGATAAAAAGTTAACTAAAAAATGAATAAATTTATATTTATAAAAGTAGCCGTGTACTATACTAGTCATTTAACTAGTTTATTATGTTTACAAACTGTACTTTCATCACGCTCGTTACTCTTTTTTATTTTAATCATCAGTAATTTAATCAACGAAATCAGAAAATCTTGCAAACAAATAAAATAATACAATAAGTAAGCTGAGTTTTACGTGCCTTTGGACACAATCAAGATTAAATCAATTGAAATAAATATAGTGAATATTACATTGACTATTTTATTAATGATACTCATAATAACATTTCATAACTTAATTTTTTTATTAATTTCTCTACGGCTTTCGAATTTAAAGGTGACTTAAACTAGATACCCGGAAAACAGTAAATACAACACAGTGAAATTTCCTAAAACCGGTGGCTATTTAAAAACAATAGGTGAAATTAATTAAAAATTCAGTGAAATTACAAAATATGAACTTCTAAAATGTTATTTTACATAACATACCAAAATATCGTATAATTTAATCGTAATCTTGATTTTTATTCATTTTCTTTTAAACATGATACTAGTTAAGTATCTTATAAAGTAAACAAACCACTAACTTCAAGTAATTTAAACAAATTTGTAACTATACGAGTTATTTCAAGAAAAATTTTAATGACATTATGAGCAAATCATTTTTGAAAAAAAAAAAACTAGCAAAAACAACGAATTTCAAACTAAAAACTATGAACAGAAGAAGTTTAATAGTAGTTTTCCTAGTTTTGTATAAATCTTTGTTAAACTATTAAAATCAACACAATGCACTTTAATTCAAAGGTATAGTAATTATTGATTTATATAATAATTGTATTTTAATACAACTTACCATTTCATCTAAGCTCTTTAGATCATTTGTGACAATTTGAGGTAATGGACCATATTCAGTTAGGTCTTCTCCGTCGCTTAAATCTGTATCATCTCCGTCATTAAAATCAGTACCCTGTGAAAATTGAGCATATTTCTTATCAGCTGCAATCTCCCGGTCTATTTGTCTCTCCATTTGGACTAACATTGGGGCTGGCACACCAACTCTAGCACCTCGCCTGGCCACCTAACATGATGTATATGATGTTTAATTTAATAATAGTATTCGAACTTTAGATGATGTCCATTTATACAGTCGACTATAAAAATTCCAAATGAGTTTTTAACTATATTCACCTCTAACAAACAGAGTATTACATGTTTTTCGTTTTTGCGCATGATCAAGTCATCAGTTTCAAATAGTAAACATTCAAAAACACCTAATCCGTTTCTACACCATGTAATAAAATTTGAAACATTGTCTCTGGCAAAGAACGTGCCGGGTTTGGCTCCGGGTAGGTATCTAACGGCTGGTAACTGAAGAACTATGGTAGCAATGCCGCTAATATTAGACTTTCCGGCCGCTTGTCTCCGGTTCACGTGGTCTTCGGCATAATTCCTCACGCAATTAGCATGCTAGAAAAACAAAATTATATTTAGATTATTCTTACTGCTTTTCAGATCTACACAATCATTACTACGCAAAAACACACGAAGCTAAATAAAATTATTGAATAAACAAAACAAAATTTTACAATTCTTACATAATATAATTATATGTTAAAGTCTATTGAAACTTGATGAAAACCTAACGACTACGACTGCGTTCTAGTTGTTGTTTGCATGTCAAGGTCGATTATCGAAAACAGTATACACATACAAGTACCGTGTATACTTTATATGAATATAAAATACAAAATATATTTCTTCATTGATTAAATTTTTTTGATTATTGGAAGTTAAATTTAGTTAAATACTTGTAGTTAGGCGTGGAAATTTCAAATATTTATACGCATCAAGTACCATTATGTAATTTTTAAGCATCCACCTTTAATATTGAAACAAACAATAAACAAAAACAAAATTTCACCGCTAGTAAATATTATTATAGCATAGAATATTATTGTCATTGTTCTTGATAGAAATATTTAGTTGTTATTAAAATGTTGGTCAATCATTATTTCGAAAAATGACCATACATAAAGAAGTTAAGTAAATTGGGTCAATTCATTGTTATTAAAACAAGGTTAAATTTTAAAGGCTTCTATGTACTTTTAATACATATAAGCCCTTATAAGAATAATTGACTTATTATGTCAAAATTAATATGCATGTAATTTAAAATGCGTTAGGAAAATGGCTAACTACATAAAATAGCAATGAATATTTTAATGGTTAGTTTATGAAAACATAACTTTTAGGGCTTTAGATATATATACCTAAATTCCTGACATTTTTTCTAGAAATTGTTGATTTTTTTTCTACGAAAATATAGTGCAGTTTATTTGGAAGGACAAGATTGAAAAGGGTATTATTTAAATTAAGAATAAATTCTCCATGAAAAAATGTGTTTCTAATATCATTTATAAATGTTGAAAATTGAACATTTTCATCTAACTTTATTTTGCGAAGTCGTTTTAAAAATAAATAAACACCTAATAATAACTTATTTAATTGAATTTATGTGGTAACTAAAAAAGATGAAATTTAATAATCCGAGATATAATTTTATTCAGAATTTATTGTAATATTATTCATATTGATAGGCTTATTATGAAACGTTATAAGTTATTTTTAATTTTAAACTTTAACATCGATAAAAGAACGAACTGCAGTAATTTTTTTTTAATAATACACAATAATATGAATAAAATTTATAAATTTCAAATTAAAAGAATAACTTTAGATTTTTCAACGATTAATGATCGAAAAGCTGAAAGCAAGCACAATATGTAAACAAATATGTTAACTAATACTATAAAAAAATGCTAAAAAAGTCAATGTAGAGCAAAACGAATTGTATCAATAATGAACCATGGATATTTTTCCAGTAAAATGTCGATAACAAAACTTAAATCGAGAATACTCCAATTTTCTCTTAATTCAATCTATTGTTTGTCATTTCACTAGAATTGCACAGCATAAATCTATGTCGTTTTGATCAAATCAAAATAAGATGTGTGTCACTTTCCAGTAAACCGGAAATCATCTGCGGTTACATCTAAAGAGTCAAAATCATCCAAAATTAATTAATTTTTGAAATTAATATTAACTTACTACAGACAATAATACAACGCGATGCTTTAATTTGACAGAAAGAATTTAACTAGTAGAAATTTAAAAGTGTCTAATGTCAATATTAGTTGTTTTTATTGTTATTCCACGAAGTTATTTAGTAAAATACAGTATTTAAATTTATCTGAATAATTATAGGCACGAATATTATTTTTATGAGCTAATTTATTCTTTTATCTCATTTTATAAATATGGAGAAGACAAATTGGTTATTATTTAAATTTTTTGCCCTATGTTGATTTGAAAATCTACTAAGTTTATTTAAATATCAATTTAACCATAAGGAATTGAAAGTTTATAGTAAAATTACAATTTGTAGGTTAGCGTAAAACTCGTAACAATCATATAAATGCATTTAAAAAAATGCCATTTAACGAAAAGTAATGTTCTCATAAACAGAACGAAGTACAATAGTGACTGACAGAATCATCGTATTAGGTCGGGCGATATCGTTACGGTTACGGTTTACAGGAGGCCTGACCGTTATGAATGAATAGTAGTTTTTTAGTTTTTACACGTTCTGGCAATACGTCATAGCAATGTTATTCATTCGAAACGCCACCGTGTCGTTTTCAGTGGCCAAGTAACCGATGATGATATACCGATCGCATGTATCAGATATCATAATCACTGCTACCTTTGACTGACAATATAAATGTTCCTATAAAAATGTTAAACCTACTGAAATAAAACTACTTGTAATACTATTTCGCAGTTAATTCTGTAATACGATAAGACACTCGTACTATTCGCGCTAAAAACCGGTTTCCAAAATACAATAAGTTGATGCTATTTTTTCAGCCCATTCTGTTAGCAAAGTTATTAAAAGTGATACGATTTCTATTATTACGAATGTTAGTCAATGGACTCGAGAATATATACACAACGCACATTAAACAAAATACAGTACTTTAATCTCATCCTAATAAAGTCATTATCAGTATTTGCCAGTCATTCCGAGTGGTACATTTTTTCTATGACCCACAAACCACCAACACCATTTGCTATAGGTGTGCGAATCCGCCTAGAAAAATCCAACACGTTCACTGGATCATAGCGGCAAAACAGAAGAGTATACAAGTTGGTCAACGTTGACCATTTTTGGTCGTTTTTAATTTAACCGTTAAGCGGTTAAACATAATATCGAATATCTATTATTTAAAGAGGACACTTATTTCATAGAAATAAATATAGGTTTTTTTCGTATCGGAAAACACCACAGGAAAATAACTAAAAACATACCAATTATATTAACCCCGTAAAGAAAAAACTTCAAGTTGAAAGAATTTAAAGTCTACTAAAATTTTATTTCTACGGAAGCAAATTATAGAGACGGTTGAAAACTTGAGTTATTATTTATGACTAAAATTTGACCTAACGAAGCGAAGATAACTGTGTATTAAAAAATTAATGTTTGATCATCAAATTAAAACAGATAATGATGGTAATAATTATTTATAATATATAACTGTGAATAAGAAGACATTGACCTGATTTATGTTTGTTTTTCACATTACATGGTATCTAATTGGCTGTATTTAGAGTGCATGTGTTAAAATAATAATGATATCAAATAAAAATAATTCAGAAAATTCTCACATTTTATTTTTATGACGAGTCAAGATTGATGCGCACATTTCCGGAGTTGGGGTATGCAGCCAGGGTATAATAATTTGATTCTGTTATTACATAATGACGAGAACAATAATTTGGACGGAAAATAGCTCTTGTTTTATTTCTATTAAAATTATTAAATTTTTTAAAACGTCCTCGATTTTAACTTAATTTTCATTATGAATTCAATGGAACACAGCTATTCGACATAATGATTAATACTGTACAACGAGGGACATAAAACCTGTTTCTTTGTCAATGACTGCCAGTAAAGTGTTAAAATTAAAACTTATTTCCATATTTCTTTTTCTCAGTGACAGTATACCACCAGAGACACTTATATAGACATCGACTAAACCTACCTAGAACTGCAGTGTTAAATAGTCATGCCGATATATTTTTCTATAAANCCTACCTAGAACTTCAGTGTTAAATAGTCATGCCGATATATTTTTCTATAAAATATCAATAAATGTACAATAATGTAGCAATGTTATTGCGATAATAAATTATTGGCCATTCAATAGGAAACTGCACAAGTAAAAGCTCGCCAACTAAGACTTCAATTCTGCAATAAAATAAGGATTTAATTCGGCTCTTATTTTAATCCATTACAAAATACATTAAATAATACGNATTCGGCTCTTATTTTAATCCATTACAAAATACATTAAATAGTACGGCCAAATTTCATTTTCTCAACTGTTTACGTCAAAGATTAGTTAAAAACATATATCCGTATAGGAATCTATAATATAGCCATTTACTAAATGTCCTATAGAAATGCACTTAAAATCAATTTAAATATTCAATTCGTCAAGTATAAGACAATAAATATTCTTACTAGTAGTAATTGATAAGTTATTGCATTTAAAAAATGACAATGTAATGTTAGGAACGGTGATGCACTTTTATTGTTCGTATAAAATGTGTATTAAAGTGTTTTCATAATTTAACGGAAACTACCAGTAAATGAAAGAAGCACGAAGTACGTGATTTCCTACAGGAAAGAGAAAATCGTGCAACACTCATACGCGACATAATATTGTTTAGCGGCATGCGGATTAGAAACTCTGAAGAGTGTTCTGCTATCAAATGAAAATGTATACACTTTGTTTTTAATTTCTGTAAATAATAAATTAAGACTTTTACTAATTGATAAAAACATAGTACTTAATAACATACTTAGGTTGAAGAATCGTAGGGTTGCCAAGTAAGCACGTGTTTTAAGGTCACAAAAATTCTTTAAAAACGATTAACTCGTATATATGTCCATAAAGACAATGACAATTGATAAAAAAAAATAGAATGAATATTATTTTTGAGGTACATTGAAAATATTTAAATAAAATTAAGAAGATTCAATTGGCCCCTGAATTTACAACCGGTCAAAAAAATTATAGTGTGTGAAAGTGTTTCACTTTTTCAACAATAGTTGAGATTATTATTTCATTTTTAACTCATTTCCGTT